GAAAGTTTGGTGACGATCGGCGCAGCGGTTCTCGAGATATATTGAAAAAACTAAAGGGGGGCAAAAAATGCCCCCCCCCCCCCACCGCCTGGAAGGTTAACCCTCGCCCCGGCGAGGGGGGTTGATGCAACCCCCCCCCCCCTAAGGTTTTTCGCAAATAACGTTAAAACGGCGGCGCGTAGCGCCGTCAAATTTGGCATACCCTCTGGGGCAACCTTTTGGCACCTTCCCTGAAAATTTCAGGTCTCTGCCGTTTCAGGTCAGGTCACCAGGTCAGAAAAACCGGTACAAGGTCATGGTCAAATTTCAATTTTCTTTATGCACCTGTCCAACTCACAGTTTTGAACTGAACCTGACCTGTGACGTCATCGGTGACCTCGAGGTCAATGAAATTAGGTTCCGCTCGACAGTTTTTCCAGGGCTATCAGACGCCGTTTGAATTTTGACGATCGGCCCAGTAGTTTCGGAGTTAGGAGGGGGGGCTATGGAGAGCCCCCCCCCCCCCCCAGTAGGGCGTGTTATACGCAGACCCCAGTGGGGCGCGGGTTAACGGTTGACCTGAGCCCTTAGAATAGGGAACCAGTCGCTGCGTCTCGTAACGGCGCACAAGGTCGTTTTTCCGCGAAAATCTAGCCCCTCGCATGTGTGCGGCGTTTGCCAGCTTCTAATGTGTAGGGGGGGGGGGGTCGGTTGGACCCCCTTGCCGTTTGGCCCCTGATCGAGCTAGAGCTTCGCGGAAAAACGAGCTTGTTGCCCGTGACGAGAGGAAGCCGATGATACCCAATTTTAAGGTCCTAGGTCATTGGTCGACCTTCCAGGTCAGGTCAATGACCCAAAGTCGGGAAAATCGGGACCTGTTAGAAAGTCGTAAAGTGTGGCTGCTAAGGGGTTTTCGGGGTGCTGATCACGAATATCGTGTTTGTTTTAATCACAGATGATGTCTGTAAGCATTTAGACCAGGTCGGGTCAGGTCAGGTCAGGTCAACCAGTAGGCGTCGTGACGGGTACTCGTAGTACGTGTCAACCGCCTCTGACAGCTTCGTAACATGTTACAAAGTCACCAAAACTACTTCGTAAATGTTCAACTGGTTGCTATATTCGAATTCAGCTCCAAAAACTAGCCTAGAAACATGTAAAACTCGAAAAAGTGAACCGAGGTCACCAAAGGTCAGTGACCTGACCTGACCTTCAGGTGACCTTGACACACACCCTAATGCATGGGAGCAGCATCAAATCACATGTTTGAACGTTTGAAACTACGAAAAGCATGCAAACGCGCGGCTAATGCGAGCCGACATACGCGGAATCGCGATTCCGGCCAAACATGGTCTCGGAAAAGAGGTCACAGGTCAAAGGTCATTTGGGTCAGGATCATGAAATTTTCAGGGTAGGTGTAAAATTGATCAATGCGAGAGTACTGAAAGTTTCGTCGCGATCGGCCGCTTTTTACGCGAGTTATTCGCGAAAAACCATGGGGGGTCCATCCGACCCCCCCCCCCCCCCTCCTACACATGCGAAGGTTAATTAGGGGCGAAACGGCGAAGGGTGGTCATAATCCTCACCCGCCCCCCCCCCCCCCGGGTGGGAGGCATGGAAAACCAATACATAGGTCCGGCCAGGGAGAAAACTATCAGTCGATGCGCCTGAGCAGTGAGCATGGCCAACACGGTGATCCACTTATCACAGCTCCGCGTCCAGTTTTCGCGATTTATTCACAGAGTTCAAAAACCAGCATTGGGATACTGGAGCGACGAAAGCACCTGAAATACATTTATCTCATCAATACGGTTCTACCTATTGATATAGCATGGCCTTCTTGAGTTAGGTCATTACCGTGACCTATGATGAAATTTTTAGTTTACCTTTGAAGTATTTTTGAAGTTGATTTGACGCTTCATGACGAGAGATATGCGAAGGTGGTAAAATAGTTGAAACTCTGATTTAGTTGCAGCTCCAAAGCTACTGCAGACAATTAATTACGGCAAAACCCGCCTATTTTGGCGGTATTCGCCAAACGTGGGCCAAAGCATTGATCCGAGATCAAATCTGAAAGCATCTTAGAGAATGAGCTCCGAAAGAGCCATCGAGCGCGCTTTGTGAAAATGTCAGAATCGGGGGAAATGTCAGAATGTCAGAACTAGATATTAGCCCCACCAATATGTTTCAGAAAGTGATGCTCATTGCCCATTTAACTGACCAATGAAATAGAATTTGAGCTATTGTTAGTGATGTAGGAATAAGAATACCTACTTCGCAGTGACGCTGGACGTTTGCTACTATAACCGTAGCTCTATCGACAACTTTAGTTTCGGGCGGAGTCGCCCATTTGTACCTACCCGTAACAAGCGAACGAGAAGTCAGTGCATTCCTAGCGCCGCTACGCGACTAGCGATATAAATGCTGTTTGATAAATTCGTCACCAGATGTCCGCCAACAGCATGGTCATTGGTCGTGCCGGTTTACATAGCCTTGGTCGTGCCAGAGAAATAAATAATCGAAAAGACGAATAGTGCATGCATACTACTCGTACATACTATGGAAATTAAACCATGCAAGCATATTTTCGGCTGTTTCTCGTTGGCTTAAAGGTCGGTGGAAAGTGGGGATAATGAAAGCACGTAAAGAATGGGAGCTGAAGAAATGTTCAGTTATCGTTATGAGCCTACATAATCTGCAGAAAAATGTCGCAGAGCTTGGGTCATTTCAGTTTGGGTCACGAACTTCCCTGGCTAGATGTAAAATAGTCAGACTGGAGCACTGCAAGTGTCGTCGTAATCCGGCTCCTATTGAGTTATTCAAGAAAAAACAGGCTTGTCCAACCACCCCGAATCTCCCAAAGTGGTGCTTCTCACCATCACCGTGTTTATTATTAAAACAGGTGAAACAAAACATTTTATGTCATAATGATGGATTTCGGCACAACCCGTAATATTTGTAACCAATAACTTGCACCCATAATTGCATATGCCACAGACCTCGATTTAATTACATATGCCCATTTAAATATGCCACGCGCATCACATGCGCGCCTGCCGCATATGTAGGTACGATGAACTGCGCCGGAATCGATTGTTTTCCGTGAGCCCGGAGCCAGTCTGGACGGCGGACCGTGTGGCCCCAAGGAGTCGACCTGGGGCGGCCACCGCCCGGCAACCGTCACCGTGGCTGTCACGCCGTCCGTCGCGGCGTCACAACGGTCCGACACAGCCGAGCGGGCCTCAATACAGACCACCCCCGGTGCCCAGCGCACTGGGAAACTCGGCCATGGGAGACCGCTGACCGGTGAAAAAGTGACACCCCACAGACAGGCCGCGACACGGCCGAGTGAGGCGCCCAGGCAGGTGGGAAGGTGCAGAGTCCGGAAACAGCCAGCGGAGCATAAAATGGCCATAGGATGCAGACAAATTGGTGATATGGAAGAGTAAGACCCAAATAAAAATGAAATAGGAAAGGAAATGTAGGTGCTACGATCTACGAATCATGGCAAGCGGCAGCACCACTACAGCTTGTGAAAGGCTACTTTTCGGTGTCATAAAATATAGTCCCTGTTGCCTGTTGACTATCGGCCGCGTAAATGATCAACTAACGGGTGTCTACTAATCAACGAGGAAAAGTTTAAAGGCTTATATCTCGGGTGTTTGGTAACTTATATAATCGAAAATTCGCATGCTTATGCATCCTTCTATTGGTTATCAAATACCTTCAGCGCAGCGCACTGAGCACACCATGTTTCACGTCACGCCGCACGCGCCACCCGACCCCCTTGATCAAACGTCGCGGCACCTCCACGTCAAACGAGACCGATAATTCCCGCCTTCCCGTCTTCAGATGTCGGTCCAAAGCTACAGTCTTGTCCCCTGGATATATTTCTTTCTTGACAAAGCCTCATAAGTATTCAATCGGCCACAGCTGCGACACGCAGGGTGGATTATCTTCTCGATCTTTCATGGGTACGCCGACCCCCTCCAACATTGTGATGGTTTGAATTGCATAATGGACGAAAACTAGGTCAAATCAGAGTGCATAGTCGCCATTTGGGTAGTACTCGTCTTTTTTACCTTGGTGCCCTAAAAGATAAGAAATCAACGCATTTATTTGCCGTCCCTCGCACTATAGAACATCCTCCCAATGATAACTCATTTTGGACACATGACTGGCAGCACCTCCCCTTCCGGAGAGGTCGTTTAGCCACATCAGTAAGCTGGAAACCGGTAAGGAGACGTGTCCTCAGGTTGCAGTTGTATCCCCCCTCACTGAATCATACAAACCGGCAACATATGACATATCTGTTCCTGGGTAAGTCAAACGATTCAAACAGCTCTCGTCACCCATTATCATATCAATGCGTTCTCACCAGTTGACAGCTTGCCCCTGATTAGCCGACGCAAACGATGTTATTCTCTACGTTGCTGCGCTCGAGTGACCTCAGGTGCCTGTATGCACCTCCGGTACTCAATTGCAAATTTTCTACAGCAAAAATTACGACATAATAGTGGCAAATATAGTGGCGTCACACCAACAGGCACATCGACACCCCTCACCTTGCCCTTCGCACCCCATCGAAGGAGACCTTGTTTCTGTAGCAAAACTCGCAGAGTTGCAGCCACTTCAAACCTTTTCCAGCATGCTGAACGTTTCCTCTTATCTCAAATATCATAAGCATGCTATTGGCACTTGGCTAAAAACCTTTAACTTGCACTAGGAGAGCCATAGGTGCCATTTCCGTTGTAGAAAGGTAATTTTTCTTAAAATTGGCAAAGATTACTTAGAACCGTTGTTTGCTTAATGTTCTCATGGCGACTGACCATGGTATTTAAAGTTTTCGTTTTGCGTGATTGACATTCGCAACAGACATGTCTTTCAGCATGTGAGATATGCAGATTATGTATTACCTTTAAAGGTTCGTATTAACTACCTGAACTTTTTCTCATTAATTAGTAGACACCCGTTAGCAGTGAAAGGATGTGCCAATTTTTCTGCTTCGATAACTTAGAACTTGCATCTCTCTTTAATTTGTATTTCAGTTCCGACAGTACCGGCATACAAAAACGAGCTATGTCCTGATTTGAATGTCACATGGACCAACAATGTCACTCAAGTTACACCTAGGTAATCCCTCACGGGTCACACCACGTGCGTCTGTCAGCAGCGGTCGGCCCTATGCTTGTCGACCAGTGAGCGTTCAGCCGTAATCACACACACAGCGGTACAGGCGCGGTTACCTCTCAGTGGGATAGCACGTGGCGACCCTTGAGCAGTCGCCGCATGATGATGCGCCGGCCGGCCGGGGTCTGCAGGCGCGTCTTCCAGCCGTGGGTGCGCAGCCGTTTCACCTCGCGCGGCCGCGGAAAATGCACGCGCATGGCGGTGCGCAGCTGACCGGCGGCTGGCCAGAGGCGCGCGCACGCGTCCAGCAGTCCGGGCGAGGTGAGCGGTGTCGGCGCCGCCGATACCACGCGGCACGTCAGAGAGGAGAAGCTGTGAAAACCAGCGGTCACCATCAGTGGAATCGCTATTGAGCTCTGCAAGGCTTTCTTTTATTTCATAACCTACCGACGAATATTTCTGATGGCTCCCGAAACACTCAGGTATAGCCTGCTGCCTGCCATTAACAGGAAGAAGTAATAAGTAACCCCAATAATTATAGAACTGAAGCGCTGTGACTGCCGTGAAACTTCATTTACCTTCTCCTACATCAAGTTCAAATTGTTGGAAACATTTTTTGTTTGGAATTGGTGAAAAACCAGTTTGTTATTTTGCATGTCAATCATGCCATCTTAGGCTAAAATGTTGCAGAATGTGTTGATATCATCTTAGGCTAACATAAAAACTACACATCACTACAAATAAGAAAAAATGCCAAAAAAGTCTAATAAAAAGTTCAAACTGAAACATTTATAAAAGGTTTCTTTTAAGTCTCCCAAAGCAAAGCTTTCCATGATTAATATATCTGTCATAAGGAAATATGTCCAATTAGATGGTTCACTTACCTCCTGAGCCCAATGAATGGCCGATACAATGCTGATTGAATCACTCCCAAAACACTCATTGTTGAAGAGATATCTGAAAAAGCAGCATTAGCAAGGAAAATACTTCTAGGATAGATACACACAGTGAGAGTATTTTAAATCAATAAAATCAATGAGGATTAAATAAAAAGGCACCTTCTGACTACCGAGCATGATCAATGATCATATCATTCCACTCAATATTAATTCCTATCTGAAAATAAGCAACAATCTAATAGGTACCAACTACCTTGTCCCACTAGGTAGTTCTAGGAACCCAGAACCAGAACCCCAGCCAAATTGGTACCTTTATGTATATTTGAACCTACCTTCTAAAACTATCAATTTGTACTTATAAAATATTTGAAGACATATGTGAAGTAAGGTGGCTGTAACAGAGCTGCAACTGAGTATTTTTTTCAAATATCACCATCATGTAAAAATATTCCTCCCTCCCCCTACCCAAAACCCTAATTCCCCACATTTCCCCTATTGTGTTGGGCTAAAAAAGGGTACTATATTTCTGCATAGACGTTTCGCAACAGCTGACTGCAGGTTCTCACGACAGCCGACATGATGAAAACAAACTGGGGCTCGAAATAGTGGTGAGATCACGGTTAGTTAGTTTTAGCTGGATATTGTTGGTCAGGTTAACTGCACGACACAGTATTCTTACTAAACACGAGTTTCTCTTTAGAAGGTCTATATTACAGGAATTAACTAATATCTGAACCGGGACAATAAGACATACAGGAAATGTGACCCATTACTGGCTATCAATAAACAGATAAGCATAAAAATAACATCTAACTAACACAGAGCCTAGACAAAATTTATTTTTCATTTATCAGCATCATCCATTTTAATGGGTGGAGTACAAGTAAGACTAGGCAAACCATACATGAAATTAGATGTGAGGATTGATACAAATACGATGAAACATTGAAACATTCAGCTAATCAGTACCTTCAGAAGGTGTATTAGCAAAAATCCACGTACCCCAGCACCTATCAAATTGTTTGTATTGCCTGTAATCTACAGGATGCGATTCCATTTACATGACAAACATTACACTGTTCTGATTCATGCGAGCAGCGATTAGGAACCCGTGCTCTTTTAGATGTTACCATGACAACCCTATTTTGGGTCACACGGGCTCAAGAATCAGTAAAAATTGAAGCTTTTAAAGATATTTAGAAAGACTTCCTTATCAATTTCGCAAGTCAACTTCACTCATCAACAAATGAAAAACAACTTCATTTACAATTTGCGTCTGCGATCAACTCCAATTCTTGCCGTCGGCCGGTAATTGGCCGCTCGCATACACCACCGAACAGGATAAGCAGGTCTTTTCATCTAATCTGCGCCAGAGATGTACCTAGCTACCATATTTGAAGTTATTAGTAAAGTAATCTTGATTTGAAGTATCCCTTCATTTGTGTCGAGGAATTTCATTATGTGCGTATATTTGGCGTCAAATTCGTATTCGCGTGGAAAAAAATGATAAAAACTATCAGCGGACCCCTAGGAATCTCTTGCAAATTGGTCCACTGATACAATAAAATCTTCTGATTACGATGTTGATTATAAATAAGCGCGGCACGACCTACGAACGGAGTCATAAGAGGTCAAAGGTCACGCACCGTTGCCCATTATCAAAAATACATTGTATGCGGACCCCTAGGAATTTTTTGAAACTCATTTCTACTATATATTTTCATCTTCTGATCACAATGGTGTTAATATCTAGGCGCGGCACGCCCTACGAGCTGAGATATGACATTACCAAATTATGCGTGGTTGCCTTTTACAAAATAAAATTTATGTGCGGACCCCTAGGAATCTATTGAAATTTATCCCAGCGATAGATTAAAATCTCCTGATCACGATGGTGATAAAATCTAAGCGCGGCAAGCCTAAAAAACTGAGAAATCAAAGATCAAAAATAAGAATCAAATGATTGGCTTTATGACGCATGGCAGACCAAATTGGCGCAAACAATATTTCTGTGTGAATATCGTGGTGTGATATTGTGCTGGTTTTAATCGAATAATCGAAGGTCTATTTGCTCAAATAATCTGGTAAGCACATGTCTGATGATGTGCTGATGCTCACCTGTTAGACTCTCCTGTTTCATATCCTCCTTCCATCAGATCGAGAAGTAAGGAAACGGTGAATGACAGAGAGTTGCGCCAAGTATTCCACAGCTAGATGCAAGTTGGATTCGCATGGCAGAGTTGCAATAGTGAGTCTGCTATAAGGTAGTCGGTAGAAATGGCAAGTATTTACTTGAGACACTGCTCATAGTCTGTCTCACCTTGTCAACTCACCTTGTCGGGTTCCATCCACTACAACAGTCAGTACAGAATTCAAATTGGCTCACAGGATGGTTGAGGATGGGAGGTACCCTGCATCACAAGGCGCGCCAGTTATGCATATGCTGTACAGTACACCATTGCAGTCTTGCCATACATTGAACTGGAATGTTGTGCCACCATTGAGGAGTATAGTCTCTCTTGAAAGTATCGCGACTCCGAGGGAAGGCGCCACCTGTCCCAGCCGCGGTTGAGCGGAAAGGTTTGAGAGCCGCTGGTAGCACTGGCCGAAGCCTGGCACGCGGAGGCAGCCGGCGCAGCTGGCCGAGGGGAGTGGTTGCGGACTGCGGAGGGATGGGAGGGGGGTGGCAGTCGCCATCCGGTAACTTGTGATGGCAGCTAAGCATATGGTCAACGGAGGCCACCCTACTCGCAGAGGATTTGTTGAGATTTGTTTCATTACAAAGTTAGCAATTTGACTCGTCATCGGCACGACTGTCACATATTTTTTTGGGGGGGGTAAAATCCGGAAACCCGTGCCCATATACCCAAAAATCATCTGTTGCACCCGCTAACAGAATGCATCCGTGCTTGCACAAGCACTCGTAGGTGGATTCAAAAACAAGAATTATCTCTCTAGCCAGTTCGCCAATTCACTGTCTAGCCATTAAGTCCTATTTTTGGAGTTCTCTCTTTTTAATGAGCTGGTTAGTGAGCGGCGACAAAAAAAAATGTTAACTGTTCAGCCGTCTTCTTTTTAAAAGCCTTATTTGATGCCAGGCTCCCCCCCCCCCTCATGACCTGTTGACGTCGTTTAGCAGGCCTCTTTACAGTAGGATTATGGCGGAACTTTGCTTTGATGTGATTTTACGCGTCACGCACACTTAGTGATTGGCGCCCAGTAAGGCACACCAATGAGCGCCCGGCTGGTGAGCCCAAGAGGCACCGGTATCCGCCTGGGGCGGTGGACGGGGTCAAGGGAGAGCGATACGAGCATGACCTTTGGCCGGCCTCCGCCTGTTTTGACCCAGTTGTCAGCCGCTGGGGCCTGCGTCATATAGCAGTTTTCCTTCTACCGATGGCGTGAAATCGTGTTACAGCGTACTTTTTATGATACAGGCCATGACCTCCCTACTGGGGTCCTCAAACTGAATGGAATAGTTCGCTGAGCCGCCGCAGCCCAGGACGCGATACTTTCAAGAGAGACTATACATGGTTTGAAACATCATTTTTTCACAGGAGATTATCACAACAATATAACAATTTACTTAGGTACATCTAAACATATTCAACAAGTTTGTCCGGAATGGCATCTGTTAGGCCTCGTTTGAAAGACTGCAGATCTGGAGCAGTGACAACATCAGCAGGAAGACTTCCAGAGGTTAACAAGTCGGTAAATGTGGAGAATTAGTACGGTCTGCTGTTCGAAGATAAAATTTGCACTTCCTTACATTATTTGACATCCTGAATCCAAAAATGATACTCACATGTGGCGGAAATAACCTAAAAAACCTAACCTAACCCAACCAAATGTGAAGAGTAAGTGTTTTATGAGATGGCGTGACACTAATCAGATTGAATTAACTACCGTAAAACGGGGTGTTAAGGGACAGTTTCGAGGTGTTTTGTTATATAACTCAAGAAGGGTTGGAGATAGAAGCATCAAATTGTCAGCGTTTTATGTGGAATTTGGTGCTTTACATGCCTGCCACATTAAAGTTTTTAAGATTTATACCTGCATATTATTTTTTATTATTTTTCATCACTGTCCCTTAGCACCCCAATGTGGGGTGTTAACCCTCGCCCATGTAGGGGGGGGGGTTGGTGCAACCCCCCCCCCCTGAGGTTTTTCGGAAATAGTGCAAAAACGGCGGCGCGCAGCGCCGCCAAATTTTGGGTACCTTATGGGGCAAGCCTTGCGCATCTTTTGATAAAAAAAAATTTGACCGGGTCATGTCAGGTCACGGAGTTATGACGTCACAAAGGGAACAGCCTCCGGCCGGATTTTCACAAACTGAGTGCCAACGCCCGAGGTTTCCTGCCGGTGGTACGGAGATCGGTTGATGGATCGTGATGAAACTTCCCATGCATGTTGGGGCAAGTATTGGCTATCATATGGTATAAGAAACTTGACCGGGTCAGGTCAGGTCACGGAGCTATGACGTCACAAGAGGAACAGCGTCCGATACTATTTTTGAAAAGCGCCCGAACCACTATTTTGCTAATTCTTGTCACCTCAATGGGAATATGCAGCAATATTAGCTTCCATAGGGAGCAAATGGACCTCCCAAATCAAAAAATACAATCAGATTTCAAAAATTTAAATTTTGATTTTTCGAATTTCTGCCGCCGACTGTGACCTTGCCGACTTCCGGCGCTCCCAACGCGCCATTTTTAGAGCTGAGGAAACGAAATACATACCAAACGATAGAGAATTGATCAAGGAACACGATAGTGAAGGTTTCAAGTCGATATCTTCCACCGTTTGGCCGCAATCGCCGCCGAAAGTTGAAAAAAAGTCTATTTTTCCGAAAATTTGACCTTTGACCGGTCAAAAGTAGGTCAAATGTTGACCTAGGACCAAAAAATATACCACCAATCGCGAGATCTCGGCGAGAGCAATCCGTTGGTCTTTTCCGCTAAGCTCTACGACGCTCCGTTTTCAAACGCCAAGGGGGGGGGTCGCACCAACCCCCCCCCCCCTGCATGGGCGAAGGTGGCAGATCGCCGTTTACGGGCGAGGGTTAAGGGACACCTATATTATTCCAAGAAATGGTCATCAAATGCCCACAATTGGGATGTGGAAGGGCACACAATTTATTTATTGAAATGTTTTGCATATTCTGTCACAAAACAAGTCAGGTTCATTCACCACTAATGACCTTTTTAGCCAATTACGTGTAATGCAGTTTACGTTTGTGGAAAATGTGCTAATTATACAGTAAACAGAACCAAAAAGTAATCTTCTGTCATCAATTAAAACCCATGTTGAAGCTAGTCACTTGTCATTATGTTGCCCTCTTTGTTTTAGCCTTTTTATGATGACATCACATTTACCTACATCAGTCTCCATTGACCCATCATTGTAAAAGAGAGTGTTGAGATGTTTTGTTACATAACTTAAGATGTGTTAGAGATAAAAGCATGAACTTGCCAGCATTTTATGT